AACGCTGCGTTTGAATGATCGTTGAATCGCCTCGCAACGAGCCACCATTTCTCTCAACCCCAACTCGTCGGGAGTTAACTCGGAGTCCCACCTTCTTGTTTCGCGATTGCTGCAGGGGGTGCGAATGCACGCAATCGGGGTTGCAAACAGGGCGACTGAATCGCCGGCGCGCCAGAGCAAAATAGCAAACAAAAAACGTATCTACAACATTAAAGCATTTAATATTAATAAAGCAGAGGTTTGCAATTAGCTTTAAACAGAGTAAAGCTGATCTTTTTTATATCGTACAATTTTGAGATTGTGATTAATATTAAGATTGAAGTTTTTAAAAAATCAGTAAAAATCCATCTTATCAAACTGATTACATTAATAAAATTTAATAAATTCGAAGATTTTTATGTTTTCTTAACATAAAATAAGAAGTGAAATATATATTTATATTTAGAAATTATGTTAGCGTCTCAAATTAATAACAATATATTGTTCTTGGTATAATAATTCCAATAGTTTAAGAAATGTTTAAAATGTATTGTTCCATATGTTTAAACTTCGACAGATCGTGAAAGGTAATTTAAGACAAGAAAATAGTCTTACTCTCGTCGTAAGTTTCGCATCTCTGGGAAAACTTCCGAAGAAACTTTTGCGCAATTTCGGAGCTTCGGGAAGTTTCGTCGATTCGATTAGGAAAAAAAAAAAAAAATCCCAATCTCCGACAGAAGAATTGCCGGCCAAGGGCACTTTGGTGTCCTGATCAGGACGACACGCAGGAAGCAAGGCGTTGCGTCCGGTGTTCCTGCGGGAACCGACGGAATCGATAGGCGCGCAGGCGCTTCTCGTGCCAGGAATCGAGGGAACGAGAAGGAGAGAAAGAGAGAGAGGAAGAGAGGCGGAGAGGTCCTCGGCGCCGTCCTCTATGCGGCGGAGGGAATCGAGAGGGCGAGTGGGACGTGGACCGACCGGCCTCCACGTTGAATCCCTTGCGGATCAGCATCCAGTGCTCGTATCACAACGACCGCCGCGATACCGCGTCCGTCCGTCCGCGCGTCCGTCTCCATCCGTCTGTTCCCCTCGACCCGTGCGATCTAATTAATCCTGCAGCAGCGGCTATAGCAATAACAGTGCTCGTAGACAATACCGTATCGCGTAGATTGTAGCTCGAAAGACGATCTTTTCCAACGTAGAGCTGTTTCGTAGCTCGGTCTTGTTTGCCCGCTTATTTAAGTTTTCTAACATTAAAAAAAAAAATGGGCGAAAAAAAATTTTTTTAACTTTACTCAGACGCGTAAATATGTTCACACGGCGAAAAGTTTGTTACTTGAAAAGATTCATGTCGTGATATTATGGGGAAAAAAAGAGCCGCTGTTGCAGAATTAAAAAAACATCAGATACTTGAATTAGATTTTTTTTTTAAAGATCGCAAATAATAAAATGTATCGGCAATAATATTTGAAATCTGGATAGATTAGATTTAGCTTATATTAGGATTATTATCCTTTTGTTGCGCCTGTAAATCAAATTGCTTAAAGTAATAATTTTCTAAAAGAAGATGACTACATGACGGAGTATTCGAACGTCTCGATCCGTCCAGAATCGAAAAATGTCGAGTGTCATTGAGGCCGTCCACGTGCGACGTTCGCAGCTTCATCCGGATGTCGATGAAGCCGCGCGAGATGGGAGCCAAGTGATCTTCCGCGGAGTTTGAGGGAATAATCGAGGGAATAATCCGCCACCTGCCAAATGGACAGGCTATTCCGATGGAAGAGCCACAAGGCGCAGGAGGATGTGAGTACGGAAATATGCGAACGACGCGAATTTACATCTGCAAACCATTTGCGTGCGGGACGATAAAAGTCCCAAAGGAGATCGATTAAAGTTTCACGAAGTTAAATGATACCTTGGGTCCTTACCTATTCCTAGTGGGCAACACTACGATGAATTGAAGAATATCGTATGCATGGAAAATGGAATCGACGCATTTGAAGAATTCTTCAATCCTCCGATTCTTTTCACATCTTTCGTGAAACTTTTTTGCAAAAATTTTAGTGAAATTTTTACTTCTTTAAATTTTTTTACTTACTGGCAATTGTAATGCATAATGCATAATGCATATTAGGTACTGCAATCCAATGTTTGTATTGGGAAATTTTTATTTATTGCTATAATGCATTTTAAATTTTGTACAATTTTATCTTTGTCGTAAGAAGGTTAAAATAAAGATCAACGAGCGTTAAGACAAAGTCGTAAAATGTTACGGCTGAAAAACTGCCGGGTAGCTTTCAGATCGGGCTCGGTATTCCAGGGTTTAATACAAGTACGATGGTATACGGAATACGTGAATACGCACGAAACGAGACACGGGCGTAACGTCCGCGGGTTTCGCGTTACAGGAAGAGAGCCGGCATTATCCGTGCGAATCTAATTGTTGCGTCGGTTGGCCGAATGATGGTTAACGGGTCGTTCACCACACCCACACCGAACTCATTGTCGATACGATATGAATATCAACCGTAAATAGGAAGCGTTTAACGAACACGAATCGTGCATGAATAAAAAGTTTGAAATAAGCGACACCGAATGTGACAACATAATTAAAAAAAAAAAAAAAAAAAAAAATAGAGAAGCTTACAAACACTTCCTCTCTGAAATTATTATTCACAGTTGTTTCTCATAAGGAAAAAAAAAGAAAGTTTTGTGAAATTAATATTATATGTATTAGTAACAAATGATTGTGATTATTAATTTGGAAAATTTCCTCCTTTTTCTCTCGCTGTATTTCTCTAGGTATTTTATGAATTATGTCAAATGCCACTGCCAACTGCAATTGAATTTATTTGGCATCGCGCGTTTAATTTGTAACAATGCAATTTTGGCGAAACTCTCCGTGATTATGTTTCGAAACAAATATTCCGTATCTATGAAATATATATACGATAACCAGCACACCAACACACACGAGGCTTCAGGAGCATCCATATCCACAGGCGAACTCGCGAACTTACTATTGTAATTTCGCGACGCGCTAAGAGAACAATGCGTACTTGCGCATTCACGCTTCCATTCGGCGCTGTTTATAAATCCTTAGACAATTTATGGCGCGCCAGTTTCCTTTTGATATCAAGGTAGTAGTTGTGCGGTCTATTTACATTGTATTGAGCTAGCTAGTTCGCGCATTAAACTTCAGTGACCCAGTAGTGACCACCAGGTCGTTCACCATAACCCGTACCTCTCTAGAGTTATCGATGCGATGCCGGCCAGGTTGCCCGTGTAAAAGCACGATTATAGAAGGCACATTATCCGTTTGCGCTGTCCTCAGATGTTGAGGAGCAACGTTTCCTCTCCGGTCGTCGCCGGCATGATTTTATCGCGCAAAACGTTAAAAGACTGAACCGGCTAATCAACTTCGTATCGCCGACTTAACGATAACACAAAGGCTACTTATTTTTATCTCGCGGAAGCGAGCGGTTAAAAATAAAAGGGTTGCTTCTAATAAGAGTTACCTTTAAAAGTAAAAGAGATCCAAAGCGGGACGTTCTCTACGACGGCCGTTTTGAAAATAACCGCCGTTCTTTTATTATTTTTCAAATATTTCGATATTTCTTAAACGCATGCGTAAAAAATTGCCGGGGAGATGGTGAATGATAATGTAATCAATATTCTTGTTTAATTTTGTTACAATTTTCTTTAGAAATAATTTTTCTAGTTGTCGATTATCGTGAGAATGTTAATAATTTATGCCGCGAATAAGGGCCGAGTTTCTCAAGATTAATTATCAAGATTGACAGAGACTAATTTCGAAGTAGATTACATCGCATCTCTTTTTTTTTCTCTCTCGATTAATCTTCTAATAATCTACGGTGAAAACCGGAACATATCTACGGATGTTTTTCGTAATGGAAAACGTTCTCTATACATTTGATATCGAAAAATGGATTGAAAGACAACAGTCAACAGCTATACATAAACCAAGATCCACAAAATTACTAACAATAAGAGAAATTGATACACGTCAATCAATATTTGGTACATTTTTGTCACTTGTGTAAAATAATTGAAGCAATAAAATTGATCCGAAAGAGATTCGAAGAGAGATTGGATTCTTTACTATCTAAAACGAGAAAATGGATTGAATCTTAGGAAAGACTTTGTAGACTTTGTAGAATATAATGATCCAAGATACAAATCAATTTCTTCTTTCACTAAGAGAAAAATTGAACAAATTCGATGGATTTATACAAACAAAAGTACTACTATTGTACAATATACGCAAGTAGTTAAATTGAATAAAGGAACATATTTTTTCCACAATTAATAATATAGCTCAATTATTTCATTTTGTCGAAGAGCGGAAATCGTTGAATTGCACGTATCGCGAAGTTATTTTCCGAGTTCGGTGCATTAATACTTTTGATTGTACAAATCACATCCGCAGCCGGGGATTGGAAACGTAAAAGGATTTCGAACGGATTACGGATTGACTTGAATTCCCGAGAAAAGGTCGAGGAAATGCCGGGGTTACTTCCCGACGCAGATTCAATTTGAATATCACCTTTTTCCGCTACGCGGTACATGACACCACGTTTTTCGTGAGTGGAAGCTTGGATATTCAAAAATATATTCGCGTGTCTGCTTCATCAGGAAACCCATTCACGAAACCCATATGTTAAAAGAGATCGGAATCGCGTAGTTGATGGGATAAAGAGGAGAAATAGCACTTTTATATAAATTTTCTTACGTACTTAAATTAATATAAAATTATTAACGTTCAATATCTTATATTATCTAATGTAATAATGTAGAATTAATTATTAGCCTGATTATCATCAGGCCGTTTGAATAGAAACGAGACTTTTAATCTTCCCCCTCGATAAACCCTTTGGGAAAACAGGTGGCTGTGATAGGTCATTGCCCCTGCTGTTACTCGCTCAACATGCAAAGGCAGGTCACATCGCAACAGGAGTAAATTAACTTGCTTAACACACTTGCTACCTTTCGTGTTTCAGGGTCTTGACAATGTGAGCTCGGCAACCCTCAGGCCCTTCAACTCGGATATCAACACACCGAGGATCGACAGCTACAGGTTCTCCATGGCGAATCTCGAAGGTAAGTTCGCGGGTCATTCGCTCGTCCGGGTTTATCGACCCCGCTTTCCATCCGGAAAAGTCAAGCCCGATCTGTCGATGATGCCCACACGTGCCAGGCTCGAGATGCGTAGAGCAAAAAGTCGGCTTTGACATGTGTCGACCACTCGAGTCGTCCGGCCCGATGACCTCTCCCTGATTTTCCGTCGCTTTTTTTTTTCTCTCTCCACGCTCGATTTTCCTCGCCCCATCAAACAGGAATGACGGAAGCCTATCGAAGTTTCCCTCTCGATCGATCTCGGCAGCTCCTTTCAACGCGATACTCGTCGTCCTGGATACTCGCGCGTTCCACTTTTTTATCGTTCGTTCCTCCTCAATTTCGCGAAGGCAGAAAGCGGCGTCGTCTCCCGCGGTGCGTGAATTTTTCAGGCGCTTCCTGCCGCGGCTCTCTCCCGCGCGGCTTCTACGCACGGTTTCGCTCCGGAGGAGACATTAATCGCGCGACAAAGATCGATTGGCGAGAGGCGGCTAACGAGACGCGATACATATCTCTCTGTCGCAAAAATTTATTTCGGCCATTTGCTTCCGGTTTAGGCGGCCGCTACCGGTTTGGCTTTATGCCGCCTCTTGACTTCGACACCGGCGGCTTTCTCGTGCGCTATGAAATTAATTTGCGGCCGACTTCGACCGTCCGTACAATCCAATATGTTCCTTTGAGATATTTTCAGTTTCAATCATGAGACGCACAAGACCCGATTCGCTCGTTTGGAAAGTGGCTTTAGCTTACACACAAATCGAATTTTCTCAATAATTCGTCATATCCTTTATTACATATATACAGATATATTAAACGAGACGCGTATATGTGTTTCGTTTCTTTTTTATCCGGACATTTATGAATGTTTTGTTTTATGCGCCGCGTGGTAATTCTATGAATATTGCCCTCTCATTATACGTGCCGTTCGCAGTCACGATTCTCTATCTCAGTTTCTGTTCTCGTACCTCACCCTCGCCCACGCGCACATACGAGTATAACTGCGCGAAACGCGATTATGAGAGAAGCGGAGGAACAGGCTCGAAGATCCTCGAAAGAACTCGTGCGTGCGTGCGTGCGTGCGTGCGTGCGTGCGTGCGTGCGTGCGTGCGTGGCCACGGCGATCTCCATCTCGCCATCATCGTTGCCGCTGCCTGCAAGCTCCTCGACTCGCTCGATGCAGAATCTGGGGGCGGACAATCGATACGGTGATATATTGTTGTTGCACGATGCAAAGATCGAGAGTTATATATAATGCGGCGGATTTATCGCAGATGGGTGGGATTATTATTTTTGCCTTTCCGGCTAATGATTCATCTGGGAATCGTAGGCCCCTGAGAAACACGCGCACGGTCTTAGTATTTCACACATTGTGAGAGGTAGAGGTGCTCTTTAGCCATTAACGCTATAAGTATTTAGAAATCTGAAATAGTGTACTTAGCTCTGATAAGCTGTTTGCGTTAAATTTATTTATAAAATTTATTTATAAAATTTAATTAACTTTATAAATCTATTTATCGAATGTTCGAGTTATCTCTCTCTGTGTGAATTTTTACGATTTAGCAAAAATATCTATACAACAAATGGTATATTTGCCCAGAGGCGTGCACGCAAAAAAAAAAAACACCGAAATTGTATATAACGTTATAAAATTAAATTTAAAAAATTTGTAAAATAAAAGATTATTCTATTAAAGAATTAAAATGTATCGTCGAAGAAAAACCTTAAATGTAGATAGAAATTTTTTATACTTAAAGGATACTTTTAAGCATGAATGAGTTCTTGCTTTCGAGAAACATTCTTGCCTTCTCAATTTGAGAACTACTGTCGCTGCGATTGGTAAAGCACGGTGAAAAAAATAACAAATCCCCTCTTTAAACCATCGGAATTCTCGTTACGGTATTTTCAGGGCGTGATGCTCGGGTTTCGCGACGCGTGAAAAATCCCGGGACGTGCATTCAATTACGGCCACGCGCCTTACCGCACGTGGAATACTTAATCGATCATCTGCCGCATTAAAATAGCACGCCAGACCGGCGTCGCTTTAATCTGCGCCGTGAAACTACGATCTTTCTTATTTACACGACTTGTTCGCTTTCCTGGGCATTCCTCGGATAAAGCAATACCATGTCTCATTGCCGAAAGAATCACTTTTTCAAAGAAAAGTATTTGCGAGTTCGAGTATTTCGTGTATTTCTCAGAGAAAAATTCTTCGATTCTATACGTATTGAAGAAAAATAAACATTCCGGTCGGTCTATAATGAACTGAAAACTGGAAACTCCACGTAAAACTCCAGTCGTATCACGCCCCTCTTTCTCCGTACCGTTCTCCTCCTCCCCCGACGGGGGGAGGTGCTTTCGCAAGCTCGAGGACATTCCTCCGCTCCACCTTGCCGTCGTTAAACGGATATTGCAGGCCCGTGCATTCTGCTCGGTGAGCAACACCGAGTCTAGACGGTCGGTATACGAGATCCACCGGCAATATTCTCTCGCGAAAGCCAGCCTTAAATCACGGCGAATCGGCGCGAAGTCACGCGCGCGCGATAAAGGGCCCGTAAAGCGCAACATTACGATTACGGTAGCACCGGGGTGGCGTGTCGGGCCAGGGAGACGATCGCGCAGACGGTCGTAAAGCACCCTCGAAGAACGCGAAATCATAACGTCGATCGTTCGTCCTCAACGGCAAACCATAAGGGATCGATCGTGACGTAATTACACCGACTCGCGCGACTCCCCGGGAAATCGGTGAAATCAACGTTGAAACAGGTTTTTCCGTCGTAATATCCAAGTCTCGGGTCCAAGAGGGAAAAACTTCTTGCCGACTTCTCCGAAAATCCGATTGGGAAACAAAGTTTCAGCGATTGAGGATTCAGTTAACGATGAGGAGGTCGGCCATGGAGGGCCACGGTCGGCTCACCGACCGTATTAAATCGCTTTAATTGCCACGTGAAATTTTAATCCCGATCATCGTAAAGATACATACGATCGGCACGAGAGTATCGCGTGCGGGTGTTCGCGGAGTAATCGCGATAATCACGACGGAACAGCGGGACGACGTCATTGAATTAATGGAAATGCGTGCGTTAGCGTAATCGGATCTCAATCTATTTGCGAGAGTTTTGACCGTCGTAAAGACGGGGAAGAATACCAATAAGGGGCATCGGGCTCGGGTGGTACGAATCCTCGACAAACGTGTACGACGCCGTCGGGAAACGAGGCGAGAATGTTTAATGCACCGCGACCATTCACGGTTCCTTTTCGCCGGTTTTATACCGCCCGCGGTTTTATTGCTCGCGCGCATTTCAGCATTTCCTCTCTTGGACGAAATATATGAAACCATTGCGAAATTTTGCAGCCGCGCTATGTTAACTGCCGCCCGTTAACTCGCGCTTTTCACGCTCGCCTCTAAAAATTCAATTTGCGCCCTTTATCAATATTTTATAAAAATAATCGCTGCAAAATTTGCCATTCGAGATCCCGCCGCTTCTTTTTTTTTTTTTTTTTTTTCGTACAATTTGCGAAACAATTAAACGAATGCGGACACGATGTTGTTTCCCGGGGATTTTCGGGCGATGCTTTGCTAAAACTCGAATTCAAGCGTGACAAGTAATTTATTCGCGCGGAGAGACTTAATTATCCGTTAAACGCGCGTTAAGAGTAATTTATGCGGCATGCCGCGTAGAATATTTAATTATTTATGAGGCTACGCCAGGAGTATCAATGACCACAATGCCAGGCGGGCGGAGTACATCGTCGAAGAAAAAAAAAGAAAGAAAAAAAAAGACAGAAAAAAAAAGAAGAAAGAGTGCAGAACGAGGCAGAAATAGGAAACGACTATTCTGGATGCGAAAATAATGAGATAGCAGTCTCTATGATTGTAAGAGCGGACGAAGTGTGTGTCGGCTAAGTAAGTCAGCTAATTGATTCATTAAAATCTCTTGATCGTCGTTCACGCGATGTTTCTGCCATATTTTTACTCGTTGTTAATACCGTAAGAGATTTTCGTTGTAATTATTTCGCTTGTCCGATGTTATAGAATTTCTACCGAATACTGATAACAAAATTAATAAAACAGCGAGCTTATCTCCTTCTCTCTTAAGAATGCAAAGGAGTGCGCTTCCTTGCAATTTTCTTCTTCGTCTATTTCCTTCTTCGTCGGGCCGGAATCTGAAATTCATGCTGAAATTATAGATCTCTAATAAGTAGCTTCACTTACAGCTCATCATTCTGTTCGCTCGATTATTTCACGGCGATTCACGATTCCGTTTCAGTGCTCCATAATTTTATACGTCGTTTGCGATCGTCATTGAAATCGCTGTTTCATCTCGCACGGCCGTGACGCGCGCAACCGGATGTTATTTTAACGGCTCCTGCCGATTTGCAGGAATCCGTAGGTTGGAAGCGACTGTTGTCGTTAACGGGATCAATGTCGACGGACGCATCAATCCTTCTTACGCTCGCCCATAAATCATCATATCGGACTGTCAAACGTCTCCATTTGCTTTCGCCTAGAGCAACGCAATGATAATTCTAATCGATTGAACGCGATACTGCTAGAGACGTCCAATGAAGCCAATTCTTAAATATAATTCTTCTTATTTTCGTATACTTTATTTCTGGCAATATAAGAAATGTATATTACAATAAATTAAGAATTAAGGATTATAAATAAATTTGAAAAATCAACGTATTTTATATTTCAACGTATAAATTATGAAATTAATTTTGCGTATAAAATTCTATAATTACAAATAAACTTTGTTTTTTAAATTTAAAATTTTTTATTTTATTCAAGTAATTATTTTTTATTTTAAGTAATAATAAAATATCGTAACATTTATATTAATAATAACATTTTGCATGTTGTTAAATGGCACAGGAAACTTTGACATAATGAGATAAGTGCAAACAGGTTAGAAATAAATTCATAAGACCCAGAGCGGATATAATGAGAATTATGAGCGAGCAAGAGAATGCCATTACCTCGTTTGACATTCCTACTAATGTTCCCATTTAATGTCATCTCTCTTTAAGCCACCCCCGCATCATCCGCTTTCTTGTGCTGCTCACTAAATATTCACCGAGACTTCTTGTCTTCTCTTCTCATTTCTTTTTATTTTCTTTTCGCTTCCTTTGTGTGACGCCCCGATGACTTTTGTTTTAAGATCACGCCAGATAAGATTTAGTTTAAAACAAAAAATACCCAGAAAATACCCAGAAAAACTTGAAGAAAATTGAATCATCCGAAGCTATTTTACCTTGTAATTTATAAACTAACTTGACTCAAGTTTTTTTCTTTTATTAATTAATCATGAAATCTTTATGTAAAAAAATAGTGCTTTTTTCACTTATGTGACTTATATTAAATGTTAAAGTTTCACTTATATTTTTATCTAATCTAACGTCACGTTATTCACGCCTGTCAAAATTTTATCAAGCACGCGGAAGAATACGGCGGCTTGCTGGCGCCGTCAATTTCCTCGGAATTGCAAATGTTGTGGCGATGTTTCGTCTCCCCCATTCGACATCTACGCTAATGCTGCCATTTGAGTCTCGCCTTAGCTCGAGTTGTCTTGATGGCTCCTCCTCGAATGCCCTCCTTGAATCCACTCTCCGTTTCGGTGCCGTTTTCTCCACCGTATACGTTGCTAGAGAGAGGAGACTCCCTTTCAACACTTTAATATATTCTCTCGGAGAAATTGTTTCTTCTAATCCGGGAACAGGCCATTTTCCTCAGAATTGAGACAAATATCAAGGAAACAGCAGGACGACATTGTAACGGCAAGGCTTTGCTCCGAGAGAGACGCTTCTAGCAGAGAGGATGTATACATAAAAATAATAAATTAACATTTTTACTAAATAATTTTTTTATTAAGTAAAAGTACTAATTTATGTTTTATTCGAGAATTAGAAACAAAACTGTGTTTCAAATTCCTGTTTAATGTCTTTGCTACTTTTTTACCGAGTGAAGCTAGAGTAATAACGACGTTGACGTTGTGAAAAATGCTTGGAGTAGATTAGATCGCTATTGCGACAGACCAAACGACTGCCATTACGACTTGCAGTTGCAATTGCATAGCGATACAATTCTAATGATCGCAATACGATTGTGTGATCTACATGACAGCAGTTTTAAGATTATTACTCGACGCTTAATCTAATTACGTTTCTTATCTTATTGATGCTTTAGCACTACTTTATGATAATTTTATTGAAAGATTTGGGAATTATTTTACCACATGATTCTATATATAAAGATTCTTGATTTTTATAGTTTTACTTTATCTGCTATCGTGTTATTTAATTATGTTAGTTTTAAATTTTCCTTTTTAACTTTTCCTTGTAGCTAATAAAATGTTATTAACTATATGACGTAATACTAAATTATTAATCCTGAATAAATTAATAGAAATTAATAGAAATAACATAATAAATTTTTATTCAAAAAAGTTTTATCGTCCATGAAATCTTTACTTTGTAATGCGAGGCAATGACCGCGGGTTAACCATGCAAATGGTTCAATTATCATGATTCTTTCTTCGTGTTTAACTGGCGATTTTCCATTCTGGCGCATCCACGTGTCCAACAAAACTTGACACGCAACGAAGGGTGCATCTGTCGAAC